GAGAGAGAGAGAGAGTGTATGTGTGTGTGTGTGAGAGCCGCGATCCTCCCTCGGGCTCCCACAATCCTCGTGCGCGCATCGTGTGCATGCCGTCACCACCGCCACCGCCGTAGGGGTTGCCGCCGTAAATGGTGCCTAGCCCTGCGACCCCGCGACCCCGTCCACCCGCGAGACAGGTAAGACATGTCGCGACCGCCCCCGAGTCGCGAGGCGCGAGTAGGATGGCGGGTTGAGTGGTGGACACCTGCCTCTTGTTGTCTTTTGCCGAAAAAGAGGAATTCATATAGTACCCTAAGCAAAAAACATACTCTCGAAATTCTTTGGAGTGAAATCTCACTCAAAAGAATGAAAATTGAGCCAGTCTTGAAAAAGAGTGACTCAATTTTTAATTTTTAAGAATGAGATTTCATGAATCTCTGCAACGTTACAACGTTACAACGTTACTGCAATGTTTCGAAATCTTTCTTGTTTACTAGGACAGGCCTCTAATGTCCGGTTCTACCAACGTAGATTAACTTTAATCTCGGTTCCCGGCTTATTCTTCATCCTTTTTTAATTCTTAAAAGTAGAACAAGATGGAGAGTTAATTAAACCAGGATTAGAATTAAATTGCGGTGATAGAAACAGGCCTAACGCCTATTTCCACTAATGTAGATTAACTTTAATCTCAGTTCAATTTACTTTTCGTCTTTTCCCAGTTCTAATGCCCATTTCTACCAATGTTCTATTGTCTATTTCCACTAATGTAGATTAACTCTAATCCCGATTTAATTTACTTTTTATCTTTCTTCAGTTCTAAGAATGAAAAAAAGAGGAATAAATTAAATCGAAATTATTGGGTCAATTCTAAGCAGAATCGTAAGACTCGTAATGTGTTCTCGTAAAACAATTTCTCGTTTTTCAATACTAGCTCAATTGTCACTTTTTGTCCCTCTTTAGAATTAGATTTCTCTTAAGATCTTTAATATCTTAAAATATTAATACAGCTCTGTGATTGGCTTATGACATTTTAAGACTGTACTTAAAATAGTCATAAAGAATTAACTATGAATATGACCATAGTGTTGTACTAGCACCTTAAAATATTACTTAAATAAGATGGTCTTAAAATAACTTGTAAAAACTTGTAAAAACTTACGACTAGTATTCTAATTTTATACGCATGTATCGTAAGACGTACGATTATATATATATATATATAT